TAGTATGTTGAAATGATAGGTTAGCGAGTGATTTGACAAAGAAAAGCAATTATTGTAGTTATTGAATTAATACTCTTTTAAAGTAAAAACTTACTCTAAGATATAATTCAGGATGCCATAGGGTATCCTCTCATCCAATAAATATATGAATTGAACAATGTCCATACACTGATAGGCTGTAGGAAATAAAAGAGACATGGTATTCAGGTACAGCCTGGCTAGGGGGACAGATAATAAAAAAAAATTGATAAAAAACTACAAGCAGGACATGTTGGCACGTTCCCATAACTTCAGCATTCTGGGAGGCTGAGGGAAAAGGACTGCAAATGCAAGCCCATCCTAAGCAACTTTTGCAGCTAGCAAAGCAACTTCACATCCAGTACCTTGTTTGATCTTCACAACAAGATAGTGAGGTAGCAGGACAGGCATTATTTATCCAAGAACCCAAAATTAGAACCCTTAGCAAAGTTCACACAGAGAAAATCACTGCTTTAAGGTTACAGGCTTTATCCATAATTTCTACTCTGAATTATGTGAGCTAGGAATCATACAGATGGTTAAAGAGAAGCAGGGCCAGTGAAGAAGATTCTTTCAATCTCTAGCATGACCCAGAAAATGTACCAGGGTATGAGAATGTTGTAGTGAGCAAGGCCAGAAAATCCCAGGGCCTTTGTCCAGTGAAAAAAGAACCCTACTATTAAATCCCTGAAGGACCTCAAATCTAATTAATATGACTTGCTATTACCACCTCTCACCTCACAGTGGTCACAAGACAAGGCTTGTTGTGTTCCTAATGTCTCCCAAGTGGACAGAGTCATTTGCCTAATGCAATACTGAACAGAGACAAGCTTCTGAAAGGATTTTCCTACTCCATTTTGCTAGCTGGCCTCAGATAAAATTATTACCCTTTAAAGGCCTCTATAAGAACTCATGAACTGTAATGCATGTCATAATCCGAAGTCCTGAAGCAAATCAATGCCATACGGGGCCATTGTAATTCACATAACCTTAGGATAGTGATTCCCAAAGTTTAATACGTGTAAGATTCATCTCGATAGAAATGTCATTCTACTAACTACGCCCTGATTCAGAGAAATGGAGTCTAAAAATATGCATTTTTTTACTAAGCTACCAAGTGATTCTAATGTGAATGGCCTGCTGACCATACATCGATTGGTTTTCTTTTTTAAAATATATCAGTCTTCCCTTTAGTATATTAGTTTTCCTTCAGAGGCCACAGAAAAGTGAGGGACATGGTATTAGCTGGCTCCATTTATGAGACAGGGAAGATCAGGAAAAGTGTGGTTAGAGGACAGTATAGAACCAAGAAATTCTATTTGGTTTCATGAAATTTGCAGTTCCTAAGAGGTATTTACATGGGGTTGTCCAGGAAGCAAATAGGGTCTTCTGGACTGGAGCTCAGAAGAGAGCTGTGACCTGGAGACAGTAATCAATTGGCGAGTTTCAGACACGAAGATGATAACTAAAATCATAGATGGTGTAATCATATAAAGTGAGAGTGTAGATAAGAGTGTCAAGAACTGTGTCCTAGAAAACCTTATAGTCTGAGGCCGGTTAGAGAAGGAAGAGCCAAGAGAGGGACTGAAGAAAGTCACTGCTGAATTCGAAGAAAAACCAGGAAAATATAATGTTGAGGAAAATTAATATGGGAAGTATTTTAAGAAAGAAATGAAACCAACCATAAAAATGCTATTTTCAAAGTGTGAAACTTCCGTGAGAAAAAAACTGATCAAAGTTAAAAATCAAGCAGAACATGAGGAGTATGATAAAGGAATCCAGAAATTAATAAAAAAATACAACAGAATTGTTAGAAAAAAGATTAAACAGAGGAAGATGCAGTTCATATAAAGTTCATATAAATAGCAAAGAACTAATTTTAAAAAGGTCCAACTTGACAAAGCATCTTGACAAATAAAGTGAAAGAGTGTTTTTAAATTAACAAATACTATAAGTTTGATAATATTTGTTACTGTGAGGGGAAAGAGTAAAGGATACTTCCAAATCCTTTCAACAAGAATACAAAATTGCAGGGGAGGAAGGGGTGAAGGGAGGGCAGGGACAAGGGGAAAAAATGAGAACCAAGACCTGTCATGTAAAGGTACAAGATCCCAGTAATGAATGTAACTGTACTCTATACCTAGAATGTACCAATAAACTCAATAAAAAGGAAAAAAAAAGAATACAAAATTGCAACAATGTTCTAGGAGTTCAATTTTATGGTAAATTAAAAAAATCCTAAATGTAAATACGTGTTCATAAAGCAACTTCGCTTTTGGTACTTATCTCAAAGATATACTGGAACATGCACAAAGAAATGTGCTCGAGGGCATTAAAAACAGTAGAATTTGTGATAGCAAGGAACTGAAGACAGCTACAAGCCCACTAATGGGTTATAATTAAATAAATTTTGGCTTACATTTTTAGTACAGAAGATTAAGGAACAGTTAAAAAGAAGGAATTATATCTATATGTTCTCCAGTGAAAATATCTCTAAAATGTGGTAGAGAAAAGTACAGATACAATGGTCTTACTTATATAATAGAATAGAACAAAGAGACACGACTTTATATGCTTTTTTAAATGTTCTTAAGTACATAGAAGAGATCACCAAACTAATAGTAGTTGTTCTCTAACAAAATGGTATGATTAACAAGTTAAAAATAATTTTGATTTTCACTGTTTGGGCTTTATTTTCTTGAATTTATATGGACTTGTTTGACTTGTGGGATCTTTAAGAAAAATTCAAAATTTTCTTAAGTTGCATTAAGTCAAAACAATTGACTTAGAGAAATAATTTTATACTTATGTTCATTTATTCATCAAGAGTTTAAATTCATACATATTATGTGTGTGTGTGTGTGAGCCAACATGTTGGGAATTTGATGTATAGCAGGCAATCAAATAAGCAGACTTCTTGTACCTTTAAGATTTACCCTATACTGGATTCAGGTTTTCTTTTCTGTGTAGGTTGCTCTTTCCATTAAAGATTTCTCATCCTCACCTAATAAAACCTCAACCAACTTTCTATACTCTCATAACCTCATGAAGAAGTGTGAAGAATAAAGTACGGAGGGCCAGGGATTTAGCTCAGTAATTCTGCCACCCGCTTCACAAGTGCAAGGACCCAAGTTCAATCCCCGGTACCAACAAAACAAAACAAAACAAAACACAAAAATAGAGAGAGAATAAAGTATAGAGAGAACATCTATAAGAAGTATCTAGAGAATTACATCCTTGCTTCTCAGGTTACCAAAAGCAACAGATAAAAAAAAATAGTATTAGTAAAACAGTCTTTCTTGGGCTGCCCTAGAAACTTCCAAATTCTATCTAGGACGATGCCTATGGGAAAAAGCCACCAACTTCTAAAGAACTGACATCTAAATGTACTGCTGAGTAGACACTGTCAGTTGTTGACAGCCTGTACTTAGGCAACTGTGAGCTTAAATAGCTGAAAACTCTCTGGCTCCCACACAGAAGTCCTTGTACACATACTCTGGTTGGGTTCTCTTTGTGATACTCACTAAGGCACAATAATTAATAGAGAATGTCAGCCTCTAGGAGTGGCCTTTGAGGCCCTTCCACCAGCTGGAACCTCCACACCATGCCAGGCTGTAGCTACAAGTCTGCCCACACTGCAAACTGAAAACGGAATTCATGCTTCTGAGCAGCCTCTGAGACGCAGCATTTGTATTCCACAGCAATTCCTGTTTTCTCCTCGTTTTCTCACACTCATGCAAATGAAAATCCCCCGATTTTCAACTGCCCAAACAAATGAATACTGTCATCATCATAAAAATTAAATGATTATTTCAAAGAAGGAACTACTCTTCGGCATGCTTAAATGTCTTGAGGCAAAGAAAAATTGACATTGATAATTCATCTTCGCCGCAAGGCGAACATCCTTATTACACATAGCTTGTCACAACTGAGGATAGTTCTAGCCGAGGGAGCCAGAAAGTTCTCAGGATTTGGAAAGAGGACCATAACCAGACACTGAGTAGTCAACTCCAAAATCACTCCCACCTCCACCACTCTGTGTGACCTTCGGTAAAACACCTGACCACTGTGTTCTTTCCTATTCCATTTCCTTCTTCAGGTTAAATTATCTGCTGTCTGCCTGGGTGGCTTCCCTAGTACATCTCCTTGCCTTAAATTCTTGTAGGGTGCTATCTTATGAAGCCATCCCTGAGGTTTTTAGGACAAGTCCTCTTCCTTTGTATTCATAAGCCTATTCTATTGTGTCCATAAGTCCATTATATCATTTATCATATAGCATAATTATGGCATATTAGTTTATCATAGTATTTATCTCAGGTAAAATGCAATTATTATTGGTCCTGATAATATTAATAAAATTATTTGCAATGTTAAAAGAACAATGTGTCAAACCCTATAAACGTATTATTTCTAATTGTCATAAAAACCTATAAGAATGCTAATATTGTTGTCTTTTCTAAATGATATAGTATCTTTATCATCATTTCTACAGATGAGGAAAATACATGGAAGAGAGATTATGCAGGTGGTTAGGTGGGACCCTGAGAGTCATGAAGAAGTCTATTCTGCTTTAAGCCCGTGTTTGTAATCATTACTCTAAAACAGTACCTTAAATAACAATAGATAGCATTTATTTAGTTCTTATCAGCTGTCAGTCTCAGCACAGACCTGACCCTCACAAAAACCCTGTGATATAGATTTAGTGATTATAATATGCTTTTTTTTTAGGTGCAGTTAAGGATCAGAATGATTGAATGACCTGCCCAAGGTAACAGAACTACAGAGACTGGATTTCAATGCAGACCGGTCTCCTTTCAGAAACCGTACCCTCACCCACTGCTCTAGTCCATGGAAGAATCTTCTTTAGTCTTGCAAATACCATTCAAGGTTTCAGGAATATTGTTCCTGAAAGCAGAAAGCTGGAGCACCAACCCTTCTGAATAATGCAAAGTAGCAAGTCGATTCAATCCCTCAGCACTCACCTTAGTACATGTGTGGATCCATTAATGGTTGTGGTTGAACAGGGGACAGTCTGGCCCAGAATGGAAGGTCTTCGATAGCGTTCATCATCGCAGCAGAGGATGATGAGGAAGGCACGTCTAAAAGACTTATTCAAGAAGGCGTAGAGAAAGGGATTCAACCCGGAATTAATATAGCCGAGCCAGAGAAAAGCAGTCCACAGCTGCCCGGGGACAGTGTAATCTATGAAAGGGTCCACGATGTTGGTGACAAAGAAAGGAGCCCAGCAGAGGCAGAAGCAACCCATGATGATGCACAGGGTCTTGGCTGCTTTGGTCTCTGTCCGCATGCGATGAGTGCTATGCTGGTCAGCCGGCTGGGGCCTGCCCTCTGAGGGGGCTCCTGCCCGTTGTAACATCTGGATCTGGTGCGCATGCTCCTTGGCGGTGACATAGATGCGATAATAGGCCAGCACCATGAGGAGAAACGGGATGTAGAAGGCCACCACTGAGCAGGTGATGGCGTAGGGCTTGTTCACCATGAAGATACAATATGTAGAGTTAGAGTCCTGGTTGAACTTCCTTTTCTCTATCTGAGAGTTGGAGGGAGACGGAAAACGAGGAAGGGAGGGAGACAGGTTAGGGAAAGGAAAGAAGCAGAAAAACATGGAAAAAATGTAAGAAGAAGTGAAAAGGAGAAAAGGATACAAATAAGAGAAGGAAACAGAAAGAAGAAGAAAAGGGACAAAAGAAAAGGAAAAAAAGGCATCAGCAAATCTTTGGTTTTCTTGTCATATTATAAGTATAGAATTTTGATGGTGGGAAAATAACATAAATCTATCCCAGAGCCCAGAAAGCTGTGTATGACAAGAGGGGCTGAAGGCTTCAGGAAGGAGTAGAAATAAAGTGGAGATAATCCTTGTTCATTCCATTCACTCACCCACAGTGGAGCAGTGCCTCTTTCTCCCCACCTTTTCTGATTGCGCATACTGTGTCAGTGTGACATCAGAATCATCTGAGGTGCTTACTGTAAACGCAGAGTCCCACCCCTCCCACAGATACTGGATCTAAATCTCTGGGGAGTGAGGCTTAGACTTTTGTGTTACAAGCAAGTTGCTTTGTTGGTTTGTTCAGTCAGTTGGTTATTAGCTATGTAGTTTGGCCTGGCCTTGGATTCACTATATCGCCCATGCTGACATCAAACTTAGGGTGGTCCTCCTGCCTCAGCTTCCTGAGTTCTGAGATTACAAGTGTGTGCTACCATGCCTGGATAGTTGATTTAAAAAATAATTTTAATTGAGTGTATTGGTACATTTTAGGTATACATTACAGTTAAATTCATTACTGGGATCTTGTACCTTTACATGACAGGTCTTAGTTCTCATTTTTTCCCCTTGTTAAATTTTATTAATATTTGCAAACCTTGGCTCTATTTAATTCTGAACCCAGATGTGTGGAAGATGCCACAGGGCACCTTTCCAAGCTATTTCTATTATCACTGAGTATCCCTGATAAAGGTTTTGCTCATTTAGATTACACAGTATTCAAAATATTAATGTAGAGTAAAGGCCATGAGGGCCCATAAGTCTAGAGAGAAAGAAAAAGTAGATAGTTTAGAATTATGGAAGACAAGAATACAGTATCTCCCTCTTATTTCTGGTTTCACCTTTCAAGGCTTAAATTACCTGTAGTCAAATGCAGTTCAAAAATTCCAGAAATAAACAGCTAAAGAGTTCTAAATTGCACGTCATCCTGAGAAGCATGATGGCATTTCACATGATACTGCTCTACCCCACCCAGGGTGCGAGTCGTTCTTTTCTCTAGCATAGCTATACTCGTTAGTTATTTAGTATCCTCTCAGGTTATCCGGTTGGCTGTGGCGCTATCACAGGACTTACATTCAAGTAACCCTAATTTGCTTCATAATGGCCAGAAGTGCATGACTGATCCCGGCAGTCTTACTATAGTGCATAGCTATGATTTTTAAACTTTATTGTCATTGTTGTCAGTCTCTTACTATGCCTAATTTACAAGTTGTAGTTCAGAGATCTCTTTTTGCCAGTGGTACTGGCGAATGAACACAGGACCTTAACACTGAGCTGCAACCCTAGGCCTTTTTATTGGCTTATTGACAGGGTCTCACTAAGTCACTCACCTACATTCCTCCTGCCTCGGCCTCCCAGAGTGCTGGGATTACAGGTGTGTGCCACCATGGCCACCTAGTATTACTTTATCATAGGTACATACATATACGCAGAAAAAAAACAGTATATAGAGAGATTGGTATTATTCATGATATTAGGCATCCACCAAACTCTTGTAATGTGTTTTCCATGAATACCAGAAATTGCCATAAATAGACTGAATAGGGAAGGACCCTGAGGGAGCTTGGAATCCAACCAGAGTTGGGGCCTAAGTACTATCGCATCTCATTCCCTCCTGAACTCAGTCCCTTAGGTGTTCGGTCCAAGCACTCCAGTGAAACTCCTCTGGTCAGTTATTAATGATCCCTAGGCAGCCAAGTCAGCCTTCATTTTAAACAAGCCCTCTATTCTTTTGAACCATCTGAGCCCTCCATCCTTTTTGAGTTGAGATAAAATACTTACAAAATACTTATGAAGTATGAACATACTGAACCCACTTAGATGGATGGGTGATTACAAATTAAGTATACCTGTATAAATTTTATTCAAATCTAAGTATAGAATATCGCTAGCATACGAAAGCCTCCCAATTATCCTTCTCAGTCATTGTTATGCCCAACTACTCTTTACCACCACAGACTAATTTGTTTTCCAGATTGATACAAGGCAATCATAAAACATATAATTTGCATCAAATTTAATATTGTATCATTGATATTAATTTGTGTACCTATAACTTCTTTTTTACATTGTGGTGTACTGTATTCAATAGTATCAATTGAAATACATTTGACACAGTTGAGATATCACAGTTTTTTTATATGAAAAATCCCAAATATAAACAATTTACAGAGAAAAATAAAGGGAAAATGGTAAGAGAGAGGCAGATAGACTGTTTTGGACATGGGAAAGGAACCTGGAGAAGAGAGAGGGAGGGTTGGGAGGAAGGGGATCAAATGTGATCAAGATTTCATGTATATTCTCATTGCCCCAAACAGATGCAATTATTATATCACAAACATATACTAATAAAGAAGAAACAGACCCCAATTACTCTCCATTCTACTACCATAGACATTTGAGCAATATGTATGTTTTGCCTATTTTGAATAAAACTGTTATGAATATTCTTGTAAAAGTGTGTGTGTGTGTGTGTGTGTGTGTGTGTGTGTGTGTCTATACTTTCATTTCTCCGAGGAAGATATCTATCTACGACTGACTTTGCTGTATCATAGGGTGAACCCAGCTATGGGAGATACAGCCCAGTGCTTTCCAACTGCTTACATTTCTACCACTGGCCTGGAGATTTCCAATTACTCCACGGCCTCTCCGGTGAGTAGTGTTGTCTCATTATGGGTTTGTTTGCTTGCTTATTTTTAATAGTTATAAAGTGCGATTGCATCAGTGAAACACTTGATGCATCTGCAAGCCCCTGTCCAATGAATGAGCTCTTATGAGGGTTTGTCTCTACGTCTAGCTTTGGTATCGATAGTGTCCCAGGCATTGCTGTCCACGTAATTACAGTATGAAACACCACTTTCTATGCAAAGTGTGAGACTGAGTTTCTACTTCTGTTCCGGGTTATCACGGGGATAGAGTACCGCCTTTAGAACTGTGAAATTCTGCCTAGGTTGGTCACCCTACAGTCTTCTTGAACGGTATCCTCAGCCTCACTCCAAGTAAATCACCTCAAGCTCCCAATGTGCTTTGCCCCTCGGCCCCATGTTTACCATGCCTAATTAGAATTTTGAATTAAATAAAATAAATTTAAATCAAGTCTAAATTTACCATGAACCTTCAGATTCTTATTGGGGCTTTACTATGCATTTCCTAATGACTGACGATGTTAATTACTGTTTAACTGTTTAGATATCTTGTCCTGAGAATTGATCATTCAGGTATTTCCCTCTTTCAAGAAGTGAATGATATATTATAGGTCTTGTCAAATTGATGTTTTGCAAGTCTCTTCGAACAGCTTTTTTTCACTTCCCGCCTCTACCTGGTGAGAGAAGTTTTAAGAACCCGTACTTTTGGTTAATACATTTCATGATCTGTTTACTTTATCGTTCAATATAACAGCATTCTCACATCTAATCGTTTAAAGGCATTCCTCTTCATTATATCTTAATCATCTTTATTATGTTAGGTTTTACATTGAGTTCTTCAGCCCACCTGGAATTCAGTTTTCTATATTGTGTACCATTAGAGACAAGATTACATTCTTAACTTGTGATACCCAGTTGGCTCACTGACATACACAGAAATTAACACACTTACCCAGCTATACAGCAGTATATCTTTGGTCATAAATCAGGGAACTTAATGTGCAAGTTTCAGTGCTTGAATTTTAATTTTGTTTTCTCAAAAAAGTATGAACCGTGCTATTTTAATTTCTGTAACTAATAATTTCATATGTCTGGTAATAAATGTCTTTGAACTGTGGGCCATTTCAAAGATTTCCTTGGCTATTTTTATATATTAATATTTCTATGAAAAATTTAAAAGCAGCTTTTCAATTTTCTTAAAAATCTTCAAGGATTTTGACTGTAGTTAGATGAGTGAGGAAAACTGATATCTTTGCAATAAATCATCCAATATTTTATAACTAGGAAGGATACCTGCCAAGTTTTTTTTCACTTTTTTTGTCACTTTCCTCTATTTAATTGAAGAAATTTCTTTCTATTCTTAGTTTGATGGAGATTTTTTTCAAGCCATTAATGGATATTAAATTTTGTCAATTCATTTTTGGCAGGAGTGAGAACGTTCATGTGGGTTTTCTCCTTTCATTAGTGTAGCAAATTATACTGATTACATTACATTTCTGGAATAAATCTGTCTTATCCAGGGTGCTGTGATACATTAGTTTCCTAAGATTGAAGAAATTTTCTCCCACCTGTGAGTGCTGCCTTCTAGTAGCTTGATGATACCAATATTCTGTATTAATTGCCCTTGACTGAAAGGAACTCCTCCCAATGTCATTTCCTGTACTTGAGGTCAGCTTGTACCCAGAGTGACTGGACACATGAATAATGATATGGAAAAATCACGTATACATAGATATATGATATACACACAGAATTTCAACTCTATTATTTGTGTAGATATTTAGTGTCCTAAGTCATATAAGGTTACAATATATTTTCCTACTTATATTTTTGTCACAAAATATCTCTATCTCAAAAAATACTACGTGCCTTGAATTTTATTATGTCACTTGTAACAGTAGCGCTATTCCAACTCTTTTTTATCAGCATATATATGATGTAGTAACCTTTCTGTAACTTTATATGTAATAGGCATCCCTTCAAGCAGCCCATATTTGCATTTTGTTCTGATTCATTCTGACAACCTTTATCTATTTATAGCAGCTTATCTTTGAAGGATTTATTCATTTAATATTTACTATAATCACTGATTTACATTCATGTCTATCTTCTTGCTGTTTTTGA